ATTTTGTGAACACTTCGGGGAGCTTACGAGTAGTCAGGCGGTAATTAGCCACACTGCATTTCTTTTGCGACTTTGTCATCCAGTCTTTGGAACAGCAGGCTTTAATTGTTGACCATTTCTTGCTCCGAAAACAACTTCGTAATCCGAAATCCAGTTAAATTCGTCCAATATACTCTGTATTCTTCCTTTTCTCCATTTTGTTTTTATGTTTACCGACAACAACGTGGTTTCCCGCATTGAAGAGTTCCTATAAATACCGTAAATACGCAATTCGGCGCGCGCATGTGTTTGACAACGAATACTCTTTCTAATAACGTAGCCTTTGTCACTGTATCTGATAATTGAGGTTCGTAATTCTGGAGATAAGCGTGAGATCTTCTGCAGTTCTACCATTTGCGTAAGTGAATTGATAAACTGCGAGCGCATCCTAACCCAAAAGGACGGAGTAGACGATCGAACTAAACAGCCGGACGGAACAGCCGGACGGAAAAGCCGAACTAAACGACCAAATGAAATAATTGGACGATAGGGACGGTCGAAATAACCGAATGGAACTATTTAGCTGATACGAACGAAACAGACGGAACATACGAACGGTGCTCGAACGGTGAACGACCGCTTTCTAGACGCTAGACGACCGCTAACCGCACGCGAGCCGCACGCAGAACGAACTGAACCTAGGTGGATACTTGGGCGTAATTCTAACTGTACATTTAATAAGAGGTTATTTGAGGAACGTTCTAGATTTCGATCAAAGGCTAGGTAAAGTTCGTTGAACTGTTACAGAAATCTGTAAAACTATCTTTACAAAAAAAACACATGTAAAAATAGATTTCAATTTTCATTACTAAACAATCTTTCGTAACATGTTACAAACTCTTTTACATTAACTATGGACGAGCGTGATAGTGCAAGTGTGGTGTAGAATGGCATTAAGACTGGATTTCAATATATACAAAATGTAATTTACAAAATATACACAATATTTTTGCTATTTTTAAGTAGCATAACACTTTGCTTTCTCACTCTCACACAAAGTATATACAGCAACATAAGGATCACAAAAAGCAAATATTTATACTCATACTGATATCACACAGGTAAACTATACACCAATACTGGCAAAGTCAATGTATCAGTCACTGTATGAAATCACTGCCCGAATACAGTGATCATGATAAGGTTCGTCCACCCCGCGGTCTGTAGTCCCCGGTCCCGTCTCTCCTCTTGATGACCTTGACCATATAACTCATGTGATGATGGACTCAACAAAATCCAAACGAGGGGTTACACGTAACGAATGGTCAGACCAACTGACATAAAGTGTCCACACAGAGCACGGTCCGTCCGCATAAATGATTCACTACCCCGGTAGATATACAGCACACAGCAATCAGTTTTACAAGAACCAAAAGACGTTGTCCACACAGGACTATCATCATAAATAATAGCTTCCACTTCAGCTAGTGGTTCTTGCAGTCCTCACAGGATTAATAGTGCCTGGTTTTCATCATTGACCCTGGGTGTGAGCTACAATATATGAACAACAGACGTACTACCTATAGCTATAAACTGACTGTCATTAAACGGTAACATATACGTACAGACTTTCTTACTACCCATATGTATATACAATGACAATAACTGTGAGACAAGTTAATACGCTATTTCTACCAATTTACTAAGTAGAGTCTATTTGTATAAAAATTAAAAGCACGGCACAGGCCGCCTTAATATTTATGGTAATCCACTCAACCGAGACCCGTACACTTGAACTATATGCCTGTTACCAATACTTTCAGTTAGATCAGAAAATGGGCAATTAAATGGGAATGGTTTATAGGTAATACTATGTTAAACAATATATGTTAACATGCTTATGTATCGCCTTGATCTTATAAAGCTAAAACAGTACATATGCATCGTGCGCGTGAATGTAAACAATGTACACCCGATATACAGGTATGGTCATATATACAATGTACAATCAACAGGTAAAATGACTAGAAATATCACAGATGAACTACAACTATGTACATGTCGTTGAATAACAATGTTACAACAAATATAAAAACTCACCACAATCTGTAGTTTGCGTTTGCTTACACATTCAAAATAACGTTTGAGCAAATCTACCTGTGGCTACCATAGCTACCTGTTAATTCCTATTTAAAAACCGTAGACGGATGACCAGAACTCCATCTATAACAAAAAAAAAATGATCCATCTCATCAATAAAATTAAGTAAACATTTTTTTTTTATTAGTGCCCGTGACAACGGAGTCATTTAATAATTCGACATTACAACTGCTGTTTTGATGAAATGAGCAGAAGTGGTATCCTATTGTTCTCTAATATAAACCTATTTTCTAACAGAAACAGACTTTGACATCCGCCTGAGTGGAGGCCCGGAACCTAATGTGGGCCGTGTAGAAGTGTTTTACAGTGGTTACTGGGGAAGTGTTTGCGGCTACTACGACTGGGACGACAGAGACGCTTATGTAACTTGCAGGACGTTAGGATACAGGTAATGTACCGACATTCAGGCTTATGTTGCCATCCCCAACAGTGCAATCGAATAAAAGAAGAAAGATGTTTTCAGAGATATCTATAGACTATCACACTATTTCCAGGGTTCATTTAATTCACACTATCACACTGGTTTCTCGAGTCCACCTGCGATGACCTCTAAATTTTATCCACGTGCCAGCTTTGTGAAAATTGTTCTCACTTGTGTGCGATAATCTATTTATCATCTTTACCGCCTTGTATGTTTCATCATAAATCGACTAAACCCCGTGCAATGCATCTTTCAACAGCATATTATCGCTTAAAATTATATCAGTTTCCTCACCACTTTTAAAACGGAATTAACAGCAATTTATTTAAAAGGACAATTTCCGCCGCGGACTACTTAATAATGAATAGTGGTGATACGTGATGTGTGACTGTGACTCCTGAATTGTTTTCAAAGTCGGCATTGTGGCCAAAACTGATAGTACAGCCGGTGAAAAGAGATACAACATTACCAACAGGGGGTACGTCTGTAATGAAAACGTATTTGTGACTCACATCAGGACAATTAATCTAAAAATAATTGTTTCGTTTGAAAATTATTTGGATATACATCACGTCTGATATGCTGTTGCATGGGGATGGCTACGCCAACGATCCCTCAGCTGACACCTGCTGGTTACCTGAAGTAAAAAAGGAAAATGATTTTCTTAGAGTTTTGACACTTATTCGTTACATACTGTAGTCAAGAAAAGATCGGTCGACTATATATACCTGTATGTATTGTGGCTCCGTGGGAAGGACGCATTGTAGGGTATAAAAAGGATTCAGGTGGAATCAATGCTTTTTTCCCAGCTTTAAGGTGGTTACCAACCGTGACTTAAAGTGATTGTTAGAAAGTTTCAGATTTTTGTAAGTCAATGGCAATCATTTATTATGGTTCAGTGAGATGTTTTGGGAGTCCAAGTTCAAGTAAGATTATTTCGTTTTTGTTTTGTTATTGTTCAGTTTTCTATAAACTAATTATTGTGCCTGCCGTAGCTGTGTAGGGAAGGTGCATTAGAGGGTATACAGGCACAGGTGGATAAATCCCGTAAAATGGTAATGGCTTGGGTCCTTTCCAGAATACAGGGAAAGAACTATATGATGGCGGAACTTGGTAGGAAGGGTATTGGTTATTGATAGGCGAATGCGTTTCCTCAGATGCTGTTGATGTACGGTCACAAGAGAGAGTAAATCCAACAGATAATTCGCGTGACATTTGTTGTTGTGTTTCCGGGGAGTTCTTGGAGTATGAATTTAAAGAATTCACATTTTTATGTTCAGAATGCTGCACCACCTTAGCGCAATCAAAAACAGCATTCTACAATTCTTTGACCACGCCTTTCCTCTTTGCTACTGCTGTTAGTTTATTACCAGATAAGTTACCCTTTTTTGCCATTACTTGAATAAATGATCTTAATTTGTTCACATGCGTAGGTGCTCTTTCATACCATACAGCCCTTTATAATCCTTGATGGTTGTCAAGTAAAAATGATTCCTTTCTGATAGCATAGCAGCTGGCCTCCTACAGCGATATTCCTTTTTACGTCTGCACTTGACACCTGATTGGGTCTGCTGTAACTGTCTAGGCTTTCATGATATATGGTGTCTTGTTTGATGGTCAAAGCCTGTTATTTAAACCTATCGTTTTAAAAAAAATGGTCATTTCATCCCTATACATTTACAACAAATTGAAATCTCATAATAAATCAAATATTTTGAAATCAAGTGAGACCATTTGTTTCATAACTTCAGTCTGTTTATTCGCAAACAATTCATGATTTTCAAAAAAACTTAAATAAACTAACATACCTGTTCAGGCCTTTGTCTGTCCCTCACTGATGTGTTCCAAAACAAATTTAAATTCTTCAGTTTTATGTCGCCATATCTTAAGTTGTGATGTTCTGTGGCTGCTCCTAGTCAAAATTGTTCACTAATATGTAAGTATAATTTGTACATAAGGTTTTCTGAGTCAGCATAGCCCAACACTCCTTGATCTTTTAGCGGATGTTAGACCTCTGATGTCAGTGGATCTGATGCATTTGGAAGGTTGTCTTTCCTTAGCCTTTTCAGTTGGATCTTCAAAGTGTCTTGTGAGTGTCTATAGTCAATGTATTTACTGTGTCCTTTTTGTACTTCTTCCCTTTAAGGAATTTGTTTAATCATTGATGCGTAAACAAATAAAGCTGAAGGTGTTTAGTCATCACCTGCCCCAGATTTACTCTGTCTAATTCCAAGGTAAAACTCTGTCCAGAGTCCTAAAGTCCAAAGTCTGTATTTCTCTATCATCCGGGTAGACTTCATGAAGATTTTAAATATTTTCACTGAAGTCATCATGCTCCTGACAGTGTTCCTGTTTTGTGTGTCAGCTATAATAGCTGTCAGGTCAGCTTAGTCGTTTCTCAAAATCCTTCTCCAAAACTGTTTCTACTCTTCCGTGTGAATATTTCTTCATCCAGTGTCATTTGTTTGTTTTCCTTTTTCTTTTCAATACTTAGCAGATCTTTTAATATAATATCATCTAGTGACATGAAATCTGACAGTTGCATCCTGACTTGTACGAGCAGACGAACAGATTAGTAACACTGACCTCATTGTTGAGTTGACCTCCTAGTCAGAATGACCTTTGACATACGATAAAGTTGTTCCGTTTCATGACGTCACTTGGCGCCAGCAGACATTCTTTTTTGAGAAAATACGTTCCCAAGTGCTGGGAAATTGGGAAACACGTTCTCAAGTTGTTCTCAAGTTGTTCTCAACTTCTTCTTGAGTATTCCCATACTGACACACCTGTGATAATGAGTTTATCATGCTACCGGTAAGTGGTATTAAGAAGTATACCGATGGTAAAATATCACTCCAGAATATTTGATAACTTAACATTTGTCTGTGTTGTTAAAAAATATTATGTTCGGCATGCATGTAGTAAATTGACATTTATCCTTCAACTGTCACACAATTCACGGCTCGGAATGAATTGTAATATTATCTTTTTTACATGTTTTCTATGACAGAATATCATATTGTTTTATGAGTTAACTTATTACTTTCATATGTATAAAAAAGTATAATTTTCTTTCCCTTCATTGTAATTATTCATTAATGTAATCAGCAATAACGATATTTGCGATGTCCACATTGTTCAGCCGGTTTTCTCAAACTTATTGGCACCTAATACCTAATAATCTTCAATTTCTATTTTTTATCTTTCAGTGCTGGTTATCAAATATATCGGACCACCCGTTATGGCAGTCTAACAGACCCTGTATGGATGGCAGGTGTAGACTGTACCGGTACGGAGGAAAGTCTAGCTGATTGTTCCTTTGACGGATGGGGTCAAGTTGGTTATTGCAGTAGTTTCTCCGCTAGTGTTTTCTGTTATAATTTCATAGGTACGTTTATATTAATAACAGAAATTCAGAGGGCAATCCTATTTTGATGAAAGATGATTGCTCGTCATTTTCAACGTATCTCAAGTTTCTCAAAATTGATAATAATGAATGTAGTTAAACATCTATCAAAATATGAAAAACGACACCGATATGTATCCTTGTTTCTGGTTTTGTTAATATCTATTAAATTTAATGAGAAAGACATTTGAGAAAAAATATTCGATTTCAATCAAAGAATAAATAAAGATACTAAAATTATTACAGACTTTTGTAAAACTTCAGTTGCAAAAGCATTAATCTGTAAAAAAATATTAGAACTATTGTTAATATACACTCTTTTGCAAGATGTCAAAGACCCTTTCACCTTAAAAAACGAAGTCATTTTTAAATAATAGGTGTCATTTGACATTGCAACTGCTGTTTATTTCCATGGGATTATTCGCAAAACATGACTTTTTGTAAGCTTAAAATGATACGGAAATACTGCTATGTGATGGAATAAGCTGAAGTTCTAGCTCTTTAATGTGTAATGTAAACACAATTTTAACAGAAACAGACTTTGACATCCGCCTGCGTGGAGGTCCAGAACCCAATGTGGGCCGTGTAGAAGTGTATTACAGTGGTTACTGGGGAAGTGTTTGTGGCCTATACGGCTGGGACAACAGAGATGCTAATGTCACGTGCAGGATGTTAGGATACAGGTAAGGCACCGACATCCATGATACTGTTACCATCCGTTATAGTGTAATCAGATAAAAGAAGAAAATACGTTTCACGCATATGTTAAAGTACAAAATACCTGAGTTGTTTTCAGAGATATTTTATCTTGTATAAAGCTTTATATTGAATTTTAGGTATGTTTCTCCAGAATATCTAATAATTTGACGTTTGTCTGTATTGTTTTAAATTATTTTGTTCAACATTCATGGAGTAAACTGACCTTTATCTTTCAACTGTCACACTATTCACGGCTCGGAATATATTGTTATTACAGCTGTTTGTAAGTAATATATCTAATAGATTGTTCATCAATCCACTTAATTGATATTATGTGTATTAAAAAAGTAACATGTTCTTTCCCTGAAAGGTAATTATTCATAAATTTAATTGGCAATATCAATAGTTGCAATGTCCGCATTGTTAAACTGGTTTTCTCCGAGAAATAGAATTGATAATTGTACATCCGGATCACATTTTCTTGTATATAACCTTTGTCACAATTATTAAAAGCAGCTCGGTAAGTTATGTTATTGGAACAATAAGATATAATGATTAAAAAGACGTGCTAAAATAGTACCGGGAACGAATTTATATCACGTTTCTAATATTAAACAGCTTTTTTAGACTTGTTAAATAGTACCGTGAACGAAGTTTTACCATGTTACTAATATTAAACAACTTTTTGTAAACCAAAGACTTGTCAAACTATCAGCAACTAAATATCTTCCATTTTTATATTTATCTTTCAGTGCTGGTCATCAAATATATCGGACCACCCGTTATGGCCGTCTTACAGATCCTGTATGGATGGCAGGTGTAGACTGTAACGGTACGGAGGACAGTCTAGCGGATTGTTCCTTTGACGGATGGGGTCAAGCTGGTTTTTGCAGTAGTTACCCCGCTAGTGTTTTCTGTTATTATTTCACAGGTAAGTTTATATTTATCACAGAAGTTCAGATGACAATCCTATTTAAATGAGGGATGATCTTAAGTTTCTCAATGGATATTAATGAATGCATATATAGCATGAAACAAACTACCAAATAAAATTAACGAAATGTAAACTGGCTGCTGATATTGTTCATATTTATTACATTTAATAAGAAAGATATTTGAGGAATAGTTTAGAATTGATCAAATGATAGGTCAAGATCCTAAAACTATTACAGAATTCTGTAAAAATAAATAAATATGAAATGAGCAGAAGTGCTATCTTATTGTTCTTTAATGTAAATCTAATTTCGAACAGAAACAGACTTTGATATCCGCCTGAGTGGAGGTCCAGAACCAAATGTGGGCCGTTTAGAAGTGTATTACAGTGGTAACTGGGGAAGTGTTTGTGGCTTGAATGACTGGGACGACAGAGACGCTAATGTAACGTGTAGGATGTTAGGATACAGGTAATGTACCGACATTCATGTTACTTTGGCTATCCGTTGCTGTATTAACATGTTTAGTAAATATTACAATGAGATAAAAGTAAAAACTACGCTCTACGTTTATGTTAAATTACCAAAGAAAAATATACCATCTGCAAAACGTTTTCTTCTATAGACCTAACTTGTATACAGATCAATATATCTTGAACAAGGCTTTCTGTTGTAATTTTAGGTATATCTCTCCAGAATATGTAATTACTTAACTTTTGTCTATATTGTGAAAAAAATAAAGTTATTTTTTCAAGTTTGATGGAGAAATATGTCATTCATCTTTCAACTGTCTCACGATCCTTGGCTCGTAATTCATTTCTATTTACTGGTTATATGTCACGGATTATCAGATTGTTTTATTCATCCTCTCAAGTGATATAATATGTATTAAAACATTCTATTACCCTTTCCCTACATTTTAATAATTCATATATTTAATCAACAACAGCAGTATATTTGTGATGTCAAATTTTTTAACCTGTTTACTCAGTGTATAAATATCGATTATTGTACATCCTGCTAACAGTTTCTTGTATATGACCTCCTTTTGCATAACTAGCGAGTAGCGAACTTTGCTTGGTGAGTTATGTAACGGGGACAATACAATACATAGACGTATTACTGTAACAGTGTACCGCGAACGAATTTATATTACGTTACTAATATTAATATACATTTTTTTAAATCTAAGACTTGTCAAGTTATTCACACCTAAAAATCGGATCTTTCTTTTTCTTTCTTTCAGTGATGGTCATCAGTTATATCGCACCACACGTTATGGCAGTCTTACAACTCCTATATGGATGGCAGGTGTACACTGTAACGGTACGGAGGATAGTCTAGCTGATTGTTCCTTTGATGGATGGGGTAAAGCTGGTTCGTGCAGTAGTTACCCCGCGAGTGTTTTTTGTTATAATTTCACAGGTATGTATACATTTATCACATACTTTCAGATGTCAAACCTATTTTAATGAGTGATGATTTTTGATTATTTTAACTGATCTGAGGTTTCTCAAAAGGGATATTGATGAATGCAGATATAACATCTGACAAACTAAAACAAACGATAACGAATCGTATACTTGGTTCTTGTATTGTTCAAATTTATTACATTTATTGAGAATAACTTTGAAAAAAAGTTTAATATTTTGATCAAAGGCTAAGTTAAGATCCTAAAACTGTTACGGAATTCTTGAAAACATCTTTTGCAAAAGAATATATTATTCTGTAAAATGGATTTTAATTTTCATGAATATACCCTCTTTCGCAACACTTTACACACCCTGCTATTTGGTGAAACAAAGTTATAGATTTGACATTACAACTGCTGTTTTGATGAAATGAGAGGAAGTGCTATCTTATTGTTCCTTAGTGTAAACCTAATTTATAACAGAAACAGACTTTGACATCCGCCTGAGTGGAGGTCCAGAACCCAATGTGGGTCGTGTAGAAGTGTACTACAGTGGTTACTGGGGAAGTGTTTGTGGTTACTACGACTGGGACGACAGGGACGCTAATGTCACGTGCAGGATGTTAGGATACAGGTAATGTACCGACAGTCATGTTACTGTGGTCATCCTTTGTAGAATAAAACATGTCCGGTAAATATTGCAATGGGAAACAAGTAAATAATGCGTTCTACGTTTAAGTCAAAGTACTTAAATAAAAAAGGACCAACTGCAACACATTGTTCCCCATTAACCTAGCTTGTATTCAGATCAATATATCTTGTATAAGGCTTTCTTGTGAGTTTGAGATATATCTCTCCAGAGTATGTAATTACTTAACTTTTGTCTGTATAGTGTAAAATTTCGTAATGGTTTTATTCAAGTTTCATGGAGAAATATGACATTCATCGTTCAACTGTCACGCGATATTTGGTTCGTAAGGATTTCTATTTGCAGGTTATATGTCACGGAATATCAGATCTTTATTTTATTAATCCGCTCAATACATATAATGTGAATTAAGTCACAAACGCTTTCCTTACCTGTTAATTAAATATGTTTATTCAACCTCAGCAGTATATTTGTGATGTCAAAATTGTTAAACCAGTTTTCTCCGTGTATAAGCATCGATTATTGTACACCAGTATAAAAGGTTCATGTTTATGACCTCCTTTTGCATAACTAGCGCGCATCAAACTTTGTTTGGTGAGTTATGTTACGGGGACAATACCATATACATACGCGTTTCCAAAGTACTGCGAATGAATATATACTACATTAGGAATATTGATGTACTGTTCGGTTTGTTATCTACGACTCATCAAGTTATTCGCTATTCGCATCTAAAATCTTATTTTTACGGAGGCGTTTATAAAGCATGCCGTGTTATGATCAGCTATCTATCGGTCGTGACGTCAGTAATTTCCTTCCAGCGGAGGTACGGATTTTGCGATGTCTGGTGGTGTTCTCCGTTACTAAAAATGCTAAGCAGACAACGGTTGTAGCACTACGTTCATAATATATATATAAGCAATACTACTTTATTGAAATTTCCTGACAATGTTGTTAACATTTCAGTTTACGCTTGTTCCAATAACAATAAGAATATTGACTTTAAAATCTTTGTACAATATTCCCCTTCGTCGATTTTTGAACTTTTATCAAATTTAAAAAAAAAATAGAAATATGTTACGATGACATAAAAGTCACCCCATCTCATTTATGATCATTTTCAGTTCAATAAATCATTGACAAATCTACAACTGACAGATTTTCACCTGTCAATCAAAATGGTCTAAAATTGACCAGATGTACATACATACACGCTGTTTAGGTAACCATACCAAAACATGGATATAATAAGAAAGCATGTGATTAACATTTTTTATCAAATATTGAGTGGGGTTTTTTTCTGGAAAAAATGTCAAGATGGACTGATAGCACCAACCAGGTAGGTAACTAATGAAGGTTAACTAAATAAACACAGTCAGCCAAGAAATTGGTTATGTTGGGAAAACATGTCACACAAAGCCTTATCGTTAATTAGGCCTTGCGTTGATTGACACATCGAGTACGGGAATATTGCTACCTGGCATGGACAGAACAGGTAATTATTGGAATATAACGGTGTTGTTTTCACAACAATCACTTTCAGAAAAGATTCAATATTATATACGGATACATCTTTAACTTTTTTTAATAAAATACACGATTCCAAGTCGTTTTCTGAGCGTCTGCAAATCAGACCAAATCGGACATCGATATCGACAGAGTGTGCACGCTTAAGGCAGCCACTCGAACAGGTCCGACGAGGACCGCCAACAGCCGAATTCGCGAGACATACAAAACACCAAACAATTGTGATTTTAGCATTTCTTCTTCGAATAGAAAATATCGGAATGTATTGAGCCCGTAGATATTTTGTTTAAGGTATGTGACCTTGTGAGTTCCTTCCGGTAAATTGTATCACGCGACCTTGACTCTCCGCAGTACAAAAAAATACGCACTTCACCACATTCCCCCTGTCGTTTTGACATATTCATACGGTTCAATAGTTCAGCGTGATTTTACCCAAGAACGGCATTTGCAATTCTTCGATATATTTCCCCATACGTGGTATTAATCAATCACAACGTAACGTCAATTAGATCTGAACGTTGGGCCTATTTTATTCGAGTTTATTTGTCCGCTTCTATCGTATAATAGGACTTAAACTTGCAACTCTTCATAATGGTTCTATAGGCAATGCAATCAATAGTTATTCAATGAAATTGAGTAGTTTATTGCTGCGGGAATATCTCAAAACATTCCCGAAAATCCACGAAAAAATATATTAAATGGTCGCGACCATGCACTGGTTTTGGATTATTCTTGTGTATCTTGCGCAACCCTTTCCTGACACTTTATTTTTTCCTTAAAAATGTGCACACTTTGCCAAAATATTTTTGGTAGTTATTGGCAAGACATGAAATATCAATCAAAAGCAATTCATGATTTATCAGTCTTCCCCTTCGGGAACCTCAAAAGTGCTTGATTCATACTCAGGACATCTTTAAATTATATATTATTCCCGTTTGAAAAATGGAGAAATTTGGAACGCCTTGAGGTGGTATGTATTTCCTGTTTAAAAATAAAAAATCGATATCTGAGTTATCCAAGCGCTTGTAATGAAGCGCCTGTTACTCTTAACAGTGATCGGCAACATATGTCAAAACTTGGAACGAAACCGAAATTAATAGTCCCATCTGGGGTTCCGCTGGGGGTGACTCAAATACTGTTGAAAGGGAGACAGCTGCGAGATAATAGCTACGGATTAGGACAACCATTTCACTACAAGAAAAGTAGTTCTCATAACAGCCAAGCACAAATAAATTATGGTTTCATATCGGTAATTTTAATGTTTCATATGAACATGTGTATTACAGAAATGAAATCACTCGATTATCTTCGAATTTTGGACTTTAAATCTTCTGTTGTAAACTACGCGCAATAATCTGCTGACTCTTTCCTCCATTCCGCCATATTGGATGAGTCATACTTGTATTTATTAACAAGTGTTTGGGCCAGAGTGGGAATCAGACTGGATGGAGGAGCGGGGGAATTAGTCAGTCATCCTGGCGACAGTTCCAGTTGCGAATTTTCTGAACTTCTAGTGTTTGATAAGCGCGCCAATTTGATGTTTAGTAGTTTTAGGTTAAAAAATAAGTACTTGCTCTTAAATGTATATCAATAATCGTGTTGGCTTCTATAACTGCTTCATTTCAATTTTCACCTTTTACATTTGACTAACGCCTGCTTCATTACTTCCAGTACTTTGATTATATCTATCTTTCAGTGATGGTCATCAACTATATCGCATCACCAGTTATGGCCGTCTTACAGATCCTGTATGGATGGCAGGTGTAGACTGTAACGGTACGGAGGACAGTCTCGCTGATTGTTTTTTTGAGGGATGGGGTCAAGTTGGTTATTGCAGTATATATCCCGCTAATGTTTTCTGTTACAATTTAACAGGTACGTATATATTAATCACAGAATTTCAGATGGCAATTGAATTTAAATGAAGGATGATTTCTCCTCTTTTTCAACATATTTAATTTTCTAAAATTGGATATTAATGAACGCAGATATGACACCTATCAAACTACGAAAACAAAATCGACATGTGTAATTGGTCCTAGTATATCTACTACATTTAAGGTGAAAGGTATTTACAGGAAGTTTTAGTTCTCGATCAAAGATAGGTAACAATATCTTGCAAAAAAACAACAACTACTAAATCATTCTGTAAAAATAGATTTCATTTTTCATGAATATACCCTCTTTCGAAACATTTTACACACCCTTTTATCTGATGAAACGACGTTATTTATTAATTTGATATTACAACTGCTGTTTTGATGAAATGGGCGGAAGTGCTATTGAATTGTTGTTGTTTAATGTAAACATAACTGTTAACAGAAACAGACTTTGATATCCGTCTAAGTGGAGGTCTAGAACCCAATGTGGGCCGTGTAGAAGTGTATTACAGTGGTTACTGGGGAAGTGTTTGTGGCTACTACGACTGGGACGACAGTGATGCTAATGTAACGTGCAAGATGTTAGGATACAGGTAATGCACCAACATTCATTCTACTGAGGCTATCCTTTGAAGTATGGAACATGTGCGGTAAATATTGCAATGAGAAAAAAAGTAAAAAATACGTCCCACGTTTATGTCAAAGAACGTCAACAAAAAAGTACCAACTGAAAGGCGTTTTTTTCCAAAAACCTGACTTGTGTTCAGATTAATATATCTTGTAAAAGGCTTTCTGTTGAGTGTGAGGAATTTCACTCCAGCATATATAACCACTTAACATTGTATAACTAGCGAGTAGATAACTTTGCTTGGTGAGTTATTTTACGGGGGACAATACAATATACAGACGCGTTAATGAAGTACCGCGAACAATATATGTTACATTATGAATATTGATCTACTGTTTGTTTTATAAACTAAGACTAATCGGTTAGTTATTCGGTATTCGCATCTAAAAAAAATAATTTTAATATCTATCTTTCAGTGTTGGTCATCAAGTATATCGGAACATCCGTTATGGCAGGCTAACATATCCTATATGGATGGCAGGTGTAGACTGTAACGGTACGGAGGACAGTCTCGCTGATTGTTCCTTTGACGGATGGGGTCAAGTTGGCTTTTGCAGTATATATCCCGCTAATGTTTTCTGCTATAATTCAACAGGTACATTTATATTAATCACAGAATTTCAGATGTCAGTTGTATTTTGATGAGGGATAATTTCTCATCATTTTCAACATATCTCAAGCTTCTCAAAACGGATATCAATAAACGCAGACATTACACATATCAAACAACAAAACATACTTCCAGTATCTTTCATATCTGTTACGTTTAAGGACAAACATATTTGAGGGAAGTTTTAGATTTCGAATCAAAAGATAGGTATAAAAAACATTCTGTTAACAGACACAACATTTTTTATGAATATACCCTCTTTCGCGCAGTCATTCATTAAAACTTCCTGTTTGTTCATATATTCGCAAAAATGTTTTGTTACAGGCTAAAAATGATATGGATTTCCTTTTTTGTGAACAAAGAAGTGGAAGTGCTATTTTATTTTTGTTGTTTAATGTAAACAAAACTATTAACAGAAACAGAATTCGAGGTCCGCCTAAGTGGAGGTCCAGAACCCAATGTTGGCCGTGTAGAAGTGTATTACAGTGGTTACTGGGGAAGTGTTTGTGGCCTATACCACTGGGACGACAGAGACGCTAATGTTATATGCAGGATGTTAGGATACAGGTAATTTACCGACATGCATGCTTCTTTGACCACCCTGTGCAGTTAGCAACATGTTAAGTAATGAATGCAAACAGATGAAAGACAGTACGTTCCACTGTAATGCAACGTGCAACACTTACTGCAAAACTTATTTCTTTAAAAGAAATTAATGTTCAATTAAAAAGACAAAAACAATACAGACTTACGGAAAAAAGTTCTGCAAGTTTGTTTGGGCCTTATGACTTCATTATTTGTTGACCGAATTTCTGTAGGTTTAGTAGGATTGCTCCTGGTAGTGTCAATGGGATGCTGGCTCTAATTTATGAATTTAGGTAAGTCCCGACTACAGAACCTTGCCATATGCATTTATATGTAGTAGGGATGGAGGAATACAAGGGTATCATCACATATTTGCTGATCTATGTTCTAATGACGAAGATAAACTAAGCGGCGACACCCAGTTATGTTAGCACCTCCTACGCCCAATATGATTAAGGCAATGGCTCTGAGTGAAAAAAAACCCACACAACTGAAATATGAAGCTCATCAATTTAGTATATCAGATAGTTGATGATATGTACAATGAGAAAAGAGAGAAAAGAGAGAAAAGAGAGGGAGAGACATCTGGATCATCTTAGAAGTAGATGTTAACGCGTAATTTTGCGACGTCAAGACAGAGCGATACGTCTGTTTCATCTCCGGAACAGTTTAAACGGACGCCGCATCTGCCCGAGGACGGTTAAGAATAATCCGTTTCGCGATTTTAACTTAAAACCACGACGTTGGACCGCAACTTAATCAGAGGCGATGTCAACGCCTTCTGCCATGGTAGCGTTAACATGCCAAAAATGTGTATCGCTTAGCAGATGGAGGTTTGTGCGTTTTTGTTCTAACAAATCTCTCTTTACATTTTTCCAATCCGATGGCTGCAAACGTGTACTGATTTCACGGTGAACGTTAAGCAAATACATGCGGGTCTTTTTTGGTTTGGGCTCGCATTTCTAAAACCCAAATACTTATCATAAATTGCAATCCAACAGGCATTGGATACCAAGATCAGGTCCTCTAGCCCATTGACATTGCCCATGACCGCCAGTGGAATCTTACCTTCTAGCAAGACAATGCAAGGCCACACGTTGTTAGAGTGTATTGTACTGTCCGTACCCAAAAACTTTGTCCCGGTACATGATTGACTTATATACTATCAAGATTTGTCTCTTATTGAACATAACTTTTTTTTATTGCTAATTCGTTTGCATCTGAAGCTCAAATAATCTAATATGTTTCTATACTATCTTACAGTGCTGGTCGGCAAATGTTTCGCACCACCCGTTATGGCAGTCTAACAGATCCTGTATGGATGGGTGGTGTAGACTGTGACGGCACGGAGGACAGTCTAGCCGATTGTTCCTTTGACGGATGGGGTCAAGTTGGTTATTGCAGTAATACCCCTGCTAGTGTTTTCTGTTATAACTTAACAGGTATGCGGATATTCGGCAGCGAGTGGAATAATTAATTTCAAATGACACAACTAGATAATACAATTTCTATTGTTTTAAATTGTTTAATGTACAAAGGAACATTAGTTATCTTGCCTGTCCTATTTCAACAATATAATATGGTATTCACCAAATCGAATGTTGCAGAATAATGTCTGTTGTGTACAAATATTGTGTGCCAATTTATTCCCCAGCCGTTTTCAACATTATAAACGGAGCGTTATTTTACTTTCAGTTCACTCTACAATAGACATTCGTCTGGTAGATGGACCAAACAATTACACCGGCCGAGTCGAGGTGTACTACAGTGGATATTGGGGAGGTGTTTGTTCTCACCGCTTTTCTTTTGGTGATAAAGACGCAGCTGTCGCATGCAGGATGCTTCAATATAGGCAAGGGCGCTTAAATAAAAACTTGTTAGTGTGGTATAAAACGATCAAATGCTTCACCTCATGTCGTTGTAAATACCATAAAAATTTAGATAAAAATCAACTTACAAAAGGTCTTAACTGTTCCCCCCAAAAGGCTAAAAAGAAAAACAAACAAAGTAAACACTGACTTGAACAAAATGGCTGTAGATACAAAAAGTCTAACAATTTTCTTGTCTTTTCGTCTATTTAGAACCCGCTAATACACACTTGGAATACTCTGGTTTGTTTACAATGAAACCAAATACTGTCAACGATAGGTAAAATTTTGTTTATGTATTTTCAGTGATGGTCGGGGTTTATCGGCAGTGTACGGTCTTCCTAATGAACCTATATGGATGGACAATGTACAATGTGACGGTACAGAGTCCAGTCTGGCTGATTGTCCTTTTGACGGTTGGGGAAATGTTGACCACTGCTATTATCAAGCTTATGTCACGTGCAACAACGTTTCAGGTAACTTAATTTTTCTTTATAATACTGTTCGCGTATGGATTTTCTAAAATGACCAATTTTATTCTAAATGTTATGTTTCCATTATTTAGCAATAAACAATTTCAAGGAATACAAAAATAGAATTGTTTTTATACCTTTTAAGACCATTAATATTTTTTTTTAAATATGATTTTATTGAACATTTGCTATTTGTAACTGCCTTATCATTCAAATTAGATCATATTTAGACAATAATAGTCTCAACTGTAAGAGCAATTTGATGATGTCCATACAGGTACCATAAAATCGATATTTGTGAAATCTGTTCTGTTTGTGCCTTTGTATTATATCAATGGTATGATTTTATATAACTTTTCGCTGGCTTTTAAATATCATATTTAGCACTTGCTTATAAAGTATTATTTGTATTTTCTTACCATATATTATTCAATACTAAGTTATAAATGTTAATTAAATGGATCTATCATACATCAGGTAGGTAAACTTTTACTAACATATCAGTCGTAATGGCATATTAGTCACGGATCAACGTATCCAGGTTTGTATACAGTTATCAATTTGAGATATATAACAACTGATTGGTAGACATTTGTAGACGTGTATATGTGTGTTGATGTTTGTATGTGTTTGTATATATATCACTTGAATATTAGTTTGAAGTATTGATCAGATGCAGATAATATGATCACATTATTATTTAACAACTGATTGGTAGACATTTGTAGACGTGTATATGTATGTTTATGTATGGATTTGTTTGTATATACATTACTTGAATATTAGTTTTAAGTATTGATCAGATACAGATGATGTGATCACATTATTATTTGTATAACCTTATATCCAGTTAAAACGCTTTTTCTTGAATTTTGTTATTAAAATTTCCACATTCAGTTCGCTTGAATTAAATTTCTATTTCTGATTTATTTAATATTTTTCGTACTTGTTTGTATTAAATTTACCTGAATTAAGATTTTTTATATAAAATATAGCATTGAAATGTTTAATGTTTTCACGTTTGTTTCAATCTTGCCATTTTACTGAATGATAATAAATGCCGTTTACACTGAATAATTCAGGGAACTGTAAATTAGCAGTTATAATTCAAATTATGTCATCAATAATTAGATAAATGTCAAAGTATTTTATGAAAAACTAATTACTCATTTCCCTTATGTTTATGTCAGTAACCCAGTTTGTTTCAGAACAGATGCCCCGGACTCCACCGGACAGCCAAAACCTATCATGTATTGTATGTCACAACATAAATGTAGTCACTGCACTGCCACTCGTGGTTTCAGCCAAAGCAGCGACTTTATTTGGCTTATGTTAACAAAAACATTTTTTGGAGGTGACACTAAATTCATTATTCGGACAGTTAAATTAAAGTAAATGTCCTGTTTTGATTGGGTTGTTTATTTAGTGATTAATCTTTATATGTAACTTGAAGTAGTGTTCTTCTAAATCTGAAATTCATACACTTTATGCACCCCCCTTTCTGTTTCTTCAATAGTTTAAACCTATTTGNCCTATCATTACTGATGAGTCCTGGAAGGACGAAACAATTGTACGGTGCAGCGTAATTCATGTTTGGCGTATTGTTTGAGTCACTAACTTGTATCGGTGCAATTACATTTGTGTATCCAATGCTCACATTTCTTCAAAGGTTATGATTTAGGAATATTTATAACAAATGCAATGCTTAACGGTTTTTGATACTTTAAATGATATATCCTCTATTAGAAAACAAAACAACCCAATCACAACACAGATATTTATTCATTCCAAATTCGGGTCCCGAGTAGAACCACGTCCACGTCGTGGGACCTGGAAACATACCTTTTGGTATGGCGAAGAGTTCTACTTTGGTACCCTGTTAAATAAGTACCTTTATGTTTGTTATTCCCGTACTTTATAAATGCAATTTTTTGTAAATATTTGTATTGTTTATAATTTTGATCTAGTGTCATCGATTTCGAATTCGAATAAAAGTTGTATTTTCAGTTTGATGTTATTTTCTTCGTTTTTGTCACTCTGTCGTAGCAATGAATATACAACATAAAGAGTCCTTTTGAATATGTATTTGTAATCCACCATCGTGGCAGAATACCAATATTGTTCACAAGAGACGAATATCAGAATATTTTGCCTGGTATTTGAAATATTTTTAGTATTTTCGAAAGCTTTTTCGTGCCATGGTTTTAGGACTGAAACAAAAATCAAGTCGTTGGAACGAGTAAAAAAAGTCGTAGGAACGAGATAAAAAGTCGTACGAACGAGATAATCGACTCTTAATCTCGTTCGTATGACTTTTTATTTCGTTCGTACGACTTTTTGTCTCGTTCGTTTGACTTAATATTATTTGTTCTCTCTAAAAAATGGCACGAATAAGCTTTCGTATGTATTCAACTGGAAACCCGTTATTGTTTTTTATTTGTTACATCCTAACGTGCAAATAACAGCGGAAGTAGTGTTACCTCATAAAACGACGGGAGATTCACGTTCAAGTCTCGTTTAGATCTGGTGCTACGGGTTTTTGTTAAATTTACAAAAGTATGACCAATTTTTAAAGCAAACACGCATCTGAACAATGTGTCACAAACTAATGTATAAGCTTGTTATTTGTAGATTTTTTTTCAAGATTCAAAACAAAAGACCAATTCGGCGACTACTTTCAAAATGTGTATTTCTTGCGCTTCACAAAAGTCCAGAATTACACTGTTATTTAGTATTAGATTAATCAATTAAATAGTCATTGTGTCGCCTTTCTTAATTGTAGCAAGTTCATTTTTTGCAGTACAACTTTGAAAGGTCCATATGTTGCAATATTATGCAACAAAGTGGAAACTTATACATTATTGGCCTGTTTTGGTATATTTAGTGTAAATGAAGCACTTTACATTTCTGAAACCAAAAAAAGATTTAAATCAACATAAATAATAATGGGAAAAAAAGAAGTACACGGACCCTTTGTTTTGTGGCTGTTTTAGAAAGAGAAACACATTTTTCTTTTGATCACGAAATATTTAAAAATGTTTATAGCAGAACTTTTCTATTAAGCGTTTAATGTGCTAAAAATGTTGAAAACATGGATATTTTTTATGAAAATATAAGGGATAGGGTAGCTTAAATCGCTATTCTGAGTTAAAAAGATGAGTTTAAGAAATTTCACTTCCTTTATATTAAAACAAATACTATGTTTATCAATTCTGCAAACATTTATACATATCGGATGCCACACTTGGAAGATATTGTAATTGATCTGCAAAAGGTCAAAATCCAAAAAAATCACCTAACAGCACATATTATGTTATATATATATATGTTTAACCGTTCATAGCATAAAATCTAACAAGCATGCATATAATTAGGGCTTTTCACTTATGGTGAAAAGACGTTATGTTTTTGTTGTTTCTTATTCTTATTCTTAGTATTCTTCTGACATGATTATGTAGCCACCTAATCTTTTGATTGGTGGAAGATATTTTATTGTCTTATAAGTATGTTGTAGTCCAAGGTTCAAAAGGTGTCATTGCAACATTTTCAAGTAGATCAAAAATCCAAAAAGGCCGCCATGACGTCATAGGTCAAATTCTAAAAATGGCCATAACTTAATAAACTATTGATTTTACAGCGGTCATGCATTTATATTATTTGTAAATATTCTTTTGGGCTAACTTTTTATCATGACAAATTAATACCAAAAGGTCACATAAAACATCCTCGCTGTTGGGTCAAAGGTCACCCATTATTAAACTTTTTACTTTTCATTTTTTTTTTTTTTTTTTTTTTTTTTTTTTTGTATTCGATTGGGTATTTTATCCTGATGAATTTGATGTCTTCAGTTTATCTGTTACATGTACCGTTAACATTCTACGCCATGTTGAATATTTCTTTTGATCTTTTTCAACTGCAGACATGTTAAAACCTATTTTTCTGCAATGCTTATGATGGTAGATAAATTTAAACATAGTATAAAGGTTTCCCCAGATGTCTGAACTAATTTGATGACGTTTTTGACGTCATTAAAAATAAAATGGCCGTCATGACGTCATATTCGTTTTTACCTAAATTGCAATAGTCTCGTTCAACCAGACTCTTGTCTGTGCAAGCTTCGCCGAACAGAGAGTCTGGTAAAACCCAGTGCAATCGTTTCGTGACATCATAACGAGGCTTACCAGGATTCTTGTAAATTATTTCATTGGTCAAAGGGAGACACACCTTTTTCAACTTTTGAAGTCAGAATTTGAATGGCGCAAAATAGCAATGATTATTTTAATTTATGAAAAAAATACCGTACAAGGATTTCTGAAGCATCCGTGTTTTCACCATTATCAAGAAAAATGTAAGAGAATTCTTCAAATCTCAATAATTTGCATTGGATATTTTACAATAATTAATGAAGCTAACAAGGCTATTGACACAAGTCAAGCAAGATTACATGAGTGAGAGCCTGTAGTGTTTGGAATGGTGTACAGGTAAAATCTCACTTGTTTTGCATGTTTCTGGAGAATTGACATGTTCTTAAATTTTTCTCGATAATATTGAATACACGGATACTACAGGAATGCATGTACAGGTAAGTTTTTTTTCATTAATTTCCTTATTCTTTGAAATGTTTTAACGGCGTTGACATAACGTCTGGAAACGAAAGTAAAAACACTGCCCTCCGGTGATGGTAATTTTAAAGTACCGTGTTTGACCAGACTCTTGAATTATAAGTGATCAAGCGTCTGGTTGAACGAGACTATAATTGCAAAAACTCATTAATAGCTGAAGCTATGAAATGTTTTTGAAAAAATAGTTGACCTTAATAAACTTCAAATGCCAAACAGGACATATATGGAAACATATTCAAGCCACTTTATTTAAATTAACCAATAGTCTCAGGGTAACGATGAAGGGCTTTTAAGTTTGTGTAAATGAATGAAATCGACCTACTCTAATTATAATTTCAAAAGTTAAACTCAAAAACTCTTTTCATTTTGTGCAATTGTGCCGTTTCTCATTATTATCAGTACTTTGATATATATTTAGCAACACAAAAAAACAGATTATATTGAACAATCTGTTGCTATGTTACTAGGAAGCAAAGAGTAATATTTTTGAGGCAGAATCATAGTAGAAAGATGGATTGTAGGTCATAGGGATCGAAAGTGTTGTTCTAATAATGAGGGGTTTTCACCATCAGATTCGTGAGATTTTCTAATCTTTTGATTGGAAGCAGACATGTTCAAAGTCTTTCAAGTATATTAAAGGCCATGATTGAGAGATATTATTGCAATATTTTCAAGTACGACAAAAATGCAATACGGCTGCCATGATGTCATATGTCAAAATCTTAAAACCTCCATTACATGTACTGAAAAACAGTTGATTTTGCAGATATAGCTTGAGGATCACTTTTCCTCATAACATGTTTTTAGAAAAATTGACAAATTAAAATCATGCCTGTCGGGTCAAAGGTTATCAATTTTTCAACCTTTTAATTTTTCAACTTTTGAAGTCAATGTGGAATTCCATCCCAATGCATCATCTGTTTTCATTTTTTCTGTAACGATTACCGTTAACGTCCTATGCTATTTTGAATATTTACTTTTATCTCAAAATCGTACCGCCGAGAAACGTTTCTAACTTGAGAAAGTCTTATACACGCTGGTAATACTACATCAATTACTACGCACTCTCAATCTTAAAAGTTTGGATAGTTTACATTTCTACTGCAGTGAGTATCATCATCCATTCTTTAACATGGCAAACCAAACAAATATAGACAAAATGATACTTTCAAGTAATCAGTTTGATGTAGATAGTCGAAGGTCTATATGATTGATACGGATTACCTTCGTACACAACACCGATCATTGGTTGCCTATATTAATCAATTCTTTCAATTCGCATTCCGGGAATCCCTTATTTCTCAGTCAGCTACTGTAGACTTGCGCAAGTTCATGTCTGATATTTGGTATAAGTGAATTTTCATTGACTACAAACACTGCACATGTTCTTACTCAAAGTCGCAGCTGTGCTCTAGGAAAATTTTCAGAAATATATATTAATTGTTAGAAGCGAAAGACTACGATCAAACCCAAATCAGTCCTAATGATTTCTAGGTATTTTATTTTATTTTTATGTTTAACTCCATTTTCTTAAAATACATTTAAGAAAAACGTTAAATTCAAGAAATGTTTATTTTCTCAGAGGAATACAACCTTAATGAAGAAAGAAAAAAAACTCTAACTGGCAAAAGAGAAATGTCATTTTCCCTTTAAAAAATATCATTAACGACAGGGTATAGTCTTGTTCAACCAGACGCTTGATCACTAGCTTGCGCAGACAACAAGAGTCTGGTTGAACGAGACTAGACAGGGTAAAGACTGAATTAGCCATGGGAATCTCTATTGCAAGAGCTTTGTTCTTTCAAACGACGAGCGCACGGATTTGAATAGCATGATCGCGAAAGAAGCATGTTTTATTAATAAATGACT